CTGTGACGGCTCCCTCCTTAATATAAATATTTAACGGACAATTTTTTTACTTCGCATCCCACTGGGATTACCGTGAAATGTAAAGGCAAATCGGAAAATGTTAGCGGCGGAGCGAAATCCAATGGAACGCGGGATAAAATCAACAGATGAATTGCAAATAGAGACTGTAAAGTTTGCCGAGCGGCATTATTGGTAACGGCGCGGCGGGTGTATATACTTTTTTTTAATGCTTCTTACAATATTTTGGAGGGAAATAAAAGCCTAAAAATATTCCCCGCGAGGGAATGAGAACGAAAATATTTATGCGTGTGAGCGACATATCTCTCTCTTCTCTCTCTCTCTCTCTCTCTCCCGCATTTGAATTTCACGATTCTCGGTGTTTCGCAGCGATTTTACTTTTATTCGCGCGGTATTTATCGCGAAAAGAGGTCAGCTGCATTTCCTTCTCGATAATGCTCGTTAATAACGATCATTAGCGCGGAAAAATGAACATTTTCAGTGCGTTATTTTGGCTAGCTCTTTATCGTTTGTAATTGTGCGTCGGAAATTCGAGCCGGGCGCACATTGGCGGTTCTGTTATTTTACAATGGAACGCCAATAAAACGGATTACGGGATACAATAATAATTCATGCGCGCGTCCATGAATAAATATCTTTGCCTTTTACCTCAACGTTCTCAACGGTGAATGAAATATTTTAAAACAAGGAGGAGCCGCTTAGGAGGATGAATTAATGTATCTCCCGCCGATATTGGAAATATCCTTCGATTTATATACAATCAGAATGTATAATATCGAGTGTGGATAAATATGAAACGAAAATCAGGTTTAGCCAACGCGATTCTACGCGCGTGATATGAGAATTACAGCGTGGATCGTTATGGATGTTTCCGCGATACATACAAGTTGATAACCCGATATGTTCGTCTTCAACGCAACGCAGAGAACGTATTGCTTATCGGATGGGATTCGATTGTAGGATATTCTACAACCATCCCGTGAATAGGATTACAATGTAATCTCAATCGAGGTCTCAGTAATGCACTTTCGTCAACGTGACGACTGGACGGACGCATCGGCGCGATCTAATGAAATTATAATGGCCCTTCGCGCAGAGCGAGCGGGATCTACGAAGCGCTTCACTCTTTAACGTCGCCTTGATCGAACGGGAAAACTTGCACGAGAAAGAGCAGAAAAATTCCCGAGGAACTCCGTCCTCTTCTTCGGAAGAATCTCCCCGAATGAAGGACCTTCCTCGGTGGAGGAGGGACGTTACGGCCGATGTCGGTGGATCTCGTCGGCAGGGGATCGAAAGCGTAGCGAGGAATAAAAAAAGCTCCATTGCGGAAAGGTGTTCCGCTGGCCCACTTTTACGCCCCTTTAAATTAGTCGGTCAAACGGAAGGACTCTAACGCGGGGGCGCCGGCGATGCGAATCCGGCGGAGGGGTGCCGAGGGAAATGACGCGCGGGGTGTTCCCTCGCGCGCGAGCGAAGGGAAAGACTCGCGATATAAAGGGCGAGGGCAGTAAGACAGCAATCTACAGCCCGGTCCACCGAGAGCTGTAACACTGGTGGAATCGAACTTGTAATAAGGTACGTCTCGCCCACTCACCAGAACTCGATTGCCCCTCGGGGACGACACCGCCGACTCCTGTCTTCCATCCGCTTCCTCCTTCTCCTCTTGCTTCTCTTCCTTCTCTTCTCCCCTCTCCTCCTCCTCGTTCCCCCTCCCCGCGATAACCTTTCCGTAGTTCGTATTTTCCGGGCTCACGCAAAGGGAAGAAGTTTGGTCGAAGTTACAAGGTCCGCTTCACGTTACATTCTCCCGTTATCGCTATTTCCTTAAAGTTACGCCGATGCGCGTCCTCGGAATTTCAATCTGCGTGCAAACAAGGATTCCCATCCTCGGCGGACCCAATTATTCTCCCCTTGGAACGGAGTGTTGATTCCACTTGTTGAAAGTATACCGTCATGGCGAAAAACTGCACGAGTCTTTCCTTCGTTTGCGCCGCTCCCGATTAACACAGTCGAATAATCCACCCCGTTATGCGCTCTCGTCGGTTTCACCTTTATCGGCTCCGACGCGTATACGCTGTGCCCGAGAAGACGTGAAATTTAAAATCGGCGTTCTTGTCAGAGGGAATATCGCGTCGAGATCATTGGGAGGGAAACGGGAATTCACAGAGTGTCAAAAATCAGCTCGCAGGGGACCGACGGTGAAATAACAGGCGTTTTGTGTAATATTCGGTTATCTCTCGTGCCCGACATCACCGTTAATGCACCATACAATAATTATATTAATTTATATAGAATCAATATTAAACATCCGGGCAATGTATTTTTAATGAAGTAAATACGTGGATGCATAATGCGCCAGCCGCGCTGAATATTACATATCGCAGGAAATAGATACTTGTAATGCAACGATACACGTGAAACCCGCAAAACTGCATTGCGACCCGCGATAATTATTCGAGATAATGAGGAGAATTCCCGATTGCCAGTTTACGGAGGCTCCCACGTCGAAGAGAGAGAGAGAGATACTGGTAGTGCCGAGCGCCGCATTTCGCAACGAAATAACTATCCCGGCAGGAAAAAAATGATTTTTCGCTTATAGTGACTCAAGGATCAAGATGAAATACGATGTTGAGCGAGAATAAGGAGCTTACGAACTACCGATCGGAGAAGGAGACTACGAGACGAAAGGAAAGATTCTACGCGCTGAGACATCACCGTAGGCTAAAACGCTAACAGAGTCGAGAAATAAAAGGACGACGCTCTTCTCTCGGCGCGACGATCGAAATGGAAAAATCTTTCCGACGCGAGTCGCTAACCGACGACGTCGAATATCGCGATATCGAACTAGAGAGAGAAAGAGAGTCAGACTGATTTAAACGCCGGGAATACATCGGTACAACGACCGCAACAAAGGCCGCAACATTAAGGAATAATGAAAGGACGTGTACTTTGTAAAAGGAGAAGATAGAAAAGCATAAGCAACGGCGCGGCAAGCTCCTCCGGCTGGTGGCGCGGTCTTGTCTTACGCCGTGGCGCCTCTTGCGTTTTCATTAAAAGCCTGTACCGCCGTCCCTTCCTGTTTCCCCGTTCCCCTCCACCTTCCCGTCGTCGTCGACGACTCTCTCGTAAAGGGCGTGTCATCCCTCGGAAAACAAAAGTCGCGACAAATGTCAGCTAAGACACTCGATTCCCCTGGCATTTTTTCCGCGACCTCCTCGCCACGGCGCGATCGTCGCGCGGATTTCATTAAAATTTTATCACACGACCCGGCGACGAAATAGAACGAGAATCTGACGACTGTCATTACCGCGCGCGCGCATTTAGCGTCTCGCCAACCATCGGGAATGTTGAGTCGATCGTCGCCGAGAAATAATGATATCTCTGACTTAGCCGATTCGAGAAATTGTTCTCAAAATATAGGGGGAACGGGACAGTCTTGGCCACCGAAGCGGTAACTCTCGTAAAACTGGAAGAAATGTAGGTTTATAGAAAATAGTGCAAGAATTTGGTACGGGAAAATGCATCGGCTTGTATTTGAGAAACTCATTTAGTTGATTCGAACAAAATTCTCGTTTGAATATGGGCGAACAAATGTTCCGGTTGTGAGAACCAAAGTTCGATTCTCTGGACCGAAGGTTTGACTCTCTGAAACGAAAATGAAAACGGGTTTGGCTCAGAGAATCGAATTTTGTTCTCGCAAGCGAAACATTTGCTTGCCCATATCCAAACGAGAGAATTTCGAGTCAACTAAATGGGTTTCTCGATGTATCACGATTGTTTGTGTAGCGATTCTTAGATCAGAAAACTGCGAAACGCTTCTCGCAACAGCTGCACCATGAACACCGGTAAGACAGCGGTTTTTTGACCGTTGGTTTCTTCGGCCCTTCAGAGAGCACAGAAGCGTACAGAATTCAATTCCTACCGACTACAATCCAGATACTCGCTGACCGGTATTACTTCCTTACCTTACGCTCTTGTAGATTTTATTTCCGATGTATTATGAAAGATGGACGAAGCGTCTGACCCGAACACGTGAGAATTGGTGCGGTTACTCAAACGTCACGAGAAGAATATCGCGCGCTGTTCTAACGCCGCGGACTGTCGATAGTTCTAGCTACGTGAGGAAGGGAGAGAGAACGGGAAGGAGCGAACTTGCGGAACGACGAAGGGGGTAAGGGTAATCCCTATTGTTTCTCTTGTCCCATAAATCCTACTAGCTCTTCCTACGCCTCTCCGGAGCGCTCCGCTCGCGCGCTTCAACCACCGACAACGTACCGAGCCGTCCACCGCCATTCCCGCCACCCCCGGACGTCCCCCTTTCGCCTTTCGCAGCAACACGCTCCGTAAATCTCTGGCCAGATGTGCTTTACGACACGTTCTCGTAAGGATACAAGAAGATTTTATTCGTCATTTGACCGGCGCCCCCGCAGCCGCTTAAAAATCAATCACCCTCGCCTCGATCGAGCGAATCCGGTCGTTTTCGCGAGGACAACTACCGATCGATCTCGCCGAACATCACGACGTACTCTGTGAAACTTTAAACGCGCGCAGCCAATTGTCTTCTAATGTGGTTTGAGAAATCGACCGTTTAGCATTGTTAGCCCGCCAACTGAAGCGTGATTATTCATTTATGATGATACTGTTGCGCGATCAGGTCATCTAATAAACATATTAGAGGCACATAATTAATCGGTTATCTAGGCGGTTAATAATTCATCTATAATCATCGCGTATAACCGTCGTGCGCGCACGAATCGAGCGTGGAAGTTTCGAATGAACGGATTGCGCGGAAGAAATTTCAGCTCGAAGCTACGATTCAATTTACGAACGAGTACGAACGCACACGGAGCTGCGGGGAGAAATTACGTCGGGAAGAAATATCGCGTTAACGCGGCTTAGATCCGGCTTGATCAGATCGCTGAACCTGAATTTATGCGTTTCGTCGATACTTTTTCTGACCAGTGTTCCGCTTTGCGTTTCAGATCGAGGATGCCATGCTGATGTTCGACAAGCAAACCAACAGGCATAGAGGTAAGTGCCACTTGTGTTTCGTCGCCGGATAATCGCCGTAGAATCGGTAGCAAACTTGGACGCGTGCAAACGCACCGGAAATGTATCCGAAACTATCCTGTTTAACGAGTCAATAATGCGTCGCCATTCCGCCGTCGGGGTAATTAACGAGTCGAGTTGAGGCTATAATTAGTAATCACTGTAAATCGCGAGGCGCGGTAAATACGAGGAAAGATAAATAACATAAATTTCAGGGCGCGCGCGCTGTCTGCACAAATCGTGATGGCATTTTGCGAATTCACGAGCCGCGAATCGATAGCCACAAAGGAGAAATTATCGCGACCGAGGCGGGCGGGCGCGCACGTGCGTGCTCGGAAGGGAATGGAAAAGTAGAGAGCGCGAAATAAAAGTGCAAACACCGTTGAAAAGATAATCGTAACTGCCTCAGGAAGCCCGTGGGATTCCGGGAGTCGCGCGGAGACGTCATTTTTAGCGTTTCCGCGCGCGTGATATTTACGAAACATAAATCGGAGAGGATCCGAGAGATCCGGCAATATGAACGGCGAATCTCGTTCTCTCTCTCGTTGTCTTCGCCCTGCGTTCCTCGATAACGTTCCCGCGATAACCCGATGTAGAATCGTGAGATGATCGCGAGATTAAAAGCTCTCGATTCCATGCAGGACGCGAGCGAGCGCGCTCGAGAAATTTTTACGCGGCACTTCGCTAACCGTAGGAATGAGAGAGAGAGAGAGAGAGACGGAAAGGAGCGGGATGGGAACGTTATCGAGATCGCGCGAGGAGCGCATGCCCAATTGAAAATCGACTGGAGGGCACGAGGGGAGGAAAGGTGGAGGAGATCGAGAGGTCGCGATGAATGAAATATCGCGCGGCCGGGATAATATATAGGGCAGCTCGACTCTCGAGCTCCTCTTGCCTCGCCGCGTCTCATCTCGCCTTGCGCCTTCGAGAGAGAGAGAGAGAGAGGTTCCGATCCCGCGAGTCTGGATCCATTCACGTCGCTGCTTCAATAGGGTCGATAATCGTCAGCGATCGCGGTACCCCACCCCGCCGATAATCGGGAGAGTCTCTCTATCTTTTTTATCGGTATACTCACCGCCCTTCCGCGCCTCACCCTCTCGATTCTCGGGTCGAGGAGCGGAGGCGAGCGCGTCTGCCCGGGCCTCGGTGATAGATTCTAATATCGCTTATGAAAAATAGGGGCAAATGGGATATGAGAGCCGGTCTCCCTTCAGTGCCACCGCTGAAGGGGGTCCTCCTTCTATCCCGAGCTGAGTTGCCGAAGAGGGTCGCGCGCGGTTATAGGCGGGGGCGGACACGCCGAAGGTGCGCGCCGCACCATCGGGGCGAACGGCTGCAGGGGGCAGGACGGTGGTAGGAATAGCTGACGGCGACGGTGGATAGCGGCGGGCGGAGGGGGAAGGGTGAATGGGAGTGGAAGTGAGATAGGGAGGGAGGGGGATATTTAT